TATGGACCATATGGTAGAGAACCAAATTCCAAATTATTTTCCATGCTGCCAAAAATGGTCCCTTCCTAGGTGGTGCATGACTGTTTTGACACCCCACCAATTGTAACATGCTGCCTAGACCTTTCAAGATTTTAGTGCAAGAGAAAAGAATATGGTTTGCATCTTCATCATGCTCCTTGCAGAAAAATGCATAATATAAATCAGCACTATTGTGTCTCCAAGAATGTCCCTTTGATGTAGATTCAATGTTGTTGGTATTCTATCTTGAAGGGCTCTCCAAACGCAAGGCAGAGAATTTCAATGGGGTATCTTGACTTGTTTCATAGCAATTTGTAGAAATATTTATCTTGACATTGTTAATATTAATTCCAAGAGCAATTTGTAGGCTGATTTCGGTGAGTACACTCCTTTGCTGTCCCATTTCCATGTCCAGGTGTCATCCTCGCCATGCTTCAATTGCACTAATTCCAATTCAGAGCAAAGATCATTTCTTTTAACTCACTCTCTTTTTATAGGTTTGATTTACTGTAAATTTAAGTTGTGGACAAAATAATAATTTACCGTTTTCTTTTCTAGTATCTGTATCTTTTTTTTTTTTTTTACCAATAAAAAATTAAAGGATGAAAAAATAATTACAGTAATACTACATAGACAACTTGAACCCTTGAAAAAAAACCAAAGACGTAGGCGAACTGCCATTGCGGCTAAGCCGGCAAGTGCTCTAGTATCTGTATCTTATTTCTTAATCTACGGTAGATTAATACCTATCCCCGTCGGAATCATGTTGGTTAAATTTAAATTTTAGTCTCTTAACTTTGACATGGACTCCCATTTTAGTCCATAAACTAAACAAAGTTTTATTTTAGTCTCTAAAGATTTAAATTCTAATTCTTTTTTTTTTTGTTTTCCAAAAATAGGAATTTTTAGTTTATAGACCAAATTAGGAGTTTGTACAAAAGTTCAGGGACTAAAATTTGGGTTTAATCTAATGGTAATTTTGTGATTAAATCATTAAATAAAATTTTAAAGCTAATATAATAATGAATTTTGTTCACATCATTAATTTTTACTATATAGAATTTTCAAATCATTAATTTGAAAGAAAAAAAAAACAGGTTTTGATGTCAATTAATATGTCATCTAATTTAGAATTTAAGAAAAGGACAAAGAAAAAAAGTCGAAATTTAAAATTTTAAAGAGCAAAATAGAACTTCATTTAATTTAGAGACTAAATTAAAGATTTGTGCCAAGGTTGAAGGACCAAAATGAAAATTTAACCAATCATGTTCGTGGTTGGGCATCTCTTGGCCCAATAACAGCTCAATGGGTTTTAGCTAGATTAGAAAACGTGGTCCCTTAAATGTCATCATCCTCCAATCCAGTCTTAAACATGATTTTCGCTCATTTTCAATTTGACTTAATTTAACAAACCATTTATTAATTTATTTATATTTTTTAGTTTTATTTATTATTTTTTAATTCTTTCCATCTTATCTATTATCCTTTATATTTATTTCAATTTCATATAATCCATTATCTTTAACGAAATCTTATTATTCTATAAGAAAATATTTAATTATCTAATTGTATTTTTTTTTTATCTTTTAACCCTTAAATTTATATTTATAGTAAAAATAGTTTTTATTCTTATCTTGTTAACATTGTTTTTCATAAAACTGTTTTACAAGATAAATTGTATGCAGTTTATCTTATAAAATTATTCAAATACCCTTAATTTTATTTTTATATTATTTTTTAAGAACATTTAAATAAGTTTACATGATGGACTGCATACAAGTTACCTTATAAAACAAACTTACTCTTGAAACTTCCCGTTATAAAATTATTAAATTTCTTTGTTTGAATTGAGTTAATTGACCAGTGCCAAAAACCAAGCAGGTGCTTTATAACAAAACACTGTAAGAATTTCTAATATGTTGGTGCTAGTTCACTAACAAATCCTTTTTCTATGTCTATGGGTTGAATACCCTTGTACTCTTGAAATAAAATTATTTCCTTTTGCTTTTCGAAAAAAAAAAAAAGAGAGTTAGTTACTTAAGTTTATTACAAATTTTAATTAATTTATCTCTATAAAATATTTCTTAAGTCATCATATTTTATTAGAATTATAGTGTTACTTCTTCAAAACTTAAAAGATTATTCTTTTCCATTAAATCTAAGAGAAATTTTGTACAGTAAATTATTTTGAAATATTCTCCAACGTTTATAAACCATTTAGAAAGAAAATAAATTTTCTACACTAAAATGAAATTAAGTTGATAATTAATAGAATAATAATTGAATTAAGTTTATTAGGATTATAGTGTTACTTCTTTAAAACTTAAAGAACTATTTTTTTCCATTAAATCTAATATAACTTTTGTACATGAAATTATGTTAAAATATTTTTTAAAGTTTATAAACCATTTAAAAAGAAAATAAATTTTATAAAATTAAGTTGATAGTTAATAGAGTAATAATTGAATTAAGCCCTTCCAATTTCAACTAAATTAAAAACCTTTCAAAACTTCTCAAGATATCCACATCTCCTGGAACAAACGACTCCTAGATCTGTTAAGTTTAGAGGGCTTTGCCAGGCCGACACCGTGGTGTCGAATAAACGGTGAAAAAGGTAGATTGAGAAATCAAGTAAGAGATGGAGGCGTTGAAGGAGAAGGAGAGAGAAAGGAACGTTGAAAACTAGAGTTTTAAAGGCAGGCAGGATGGGAGAGAGATGCACGAGCTCTTCTAGTTCTGGGGTGTTCTCTGTCTCTCCTATACGTCCTTGGTCAAATAATACAAAACCGAATGTCTCGTATTGTTGAAATTCTGCTCCTATCTCTCTCAGCATACCATCACTCTACTATGGCTAGAACATTGAATAAGACTTGTTAGGGGGACGGATCCCGCCTATCGATTTGGAAGTATTGCCTTGGGTGTTAGGACCTATTGTTTATTTGTTCCCCGGGAGAGACCTCCCCAAGAGTCGAACCCGAGATCTTAAGGAGCTCAAGTGGTACCAAGGTCACCTATGAAAATCTCTTAAGATTAAGAGAAACCTCGGTTTGACTCCTAGGAAGGTTTATCCTGGAAACAAATAAACAATAGGCCCTAACACCCAAGGCAATATGCCTAAAGCGATAAGTGACATCCGTCCCCCTAATAAGACTCAATATAAGGAATTAGGAAAGCAAAAACTTTCCTCAAATGATTATAATATTGCATATAATTTATTGTGACCAAATACTTTAAAGCAAAATACATTATTGAACTTTTTGTCATAACGATATGGCAAACAATTACAAAATCTCAAATCTTGAGATTCTAAGCGCAGGCTAAACCCTATGGAACTTCTGTATAGTTAATCAGTGGTAGATAGATAGAAAGAGAGCAATAATTCTAAAAGGATTTTAGGAGAACAAGGATCGAGTCTTGTTGCGTTCCAATCGAGCTTCCCTCTGCAAGATTCAGCAAATTTTTAGATAAAAGTGCAACAAAAACCCAAGTTTCCAGAAGGAATGCAGTTTTTAGATTCACCTCCTTCTTCTTGCATTCCTTGTAAACATCAAAATGTTCCTGACATTTACTCTTGTCTGAGCTAAATTCTTCCAGACCTAAGAAAAAGTGAATCAAAATATTTCACTTATAACTCCAATCCAATCCAATCCAATCAAAGCATGTAGCCTAACCAACTAAAATACCTTACTACTTTATTAAGGTTATCAAGGTGAGAAATTTTAAAATTCCCCATCACAATTCAGCAATAATAATACTAATACATTAAAAAGCCCCAATTTTTCTTCGAATCTCCACAGAACAATTAACTTCTCCTCCACAAATCAAATCCAAGATGGTAACAATCACAAGTCAAAACCTCATATCCAAAGAATCCAGAAAGATTTGGCTAAGTGAAAATTCAGAAGATGAGGGAAAATTAGCTTACATTTGAGAGATGCAGTATACTGAGAGTAGCACTGGGAATCGGCGAGCCTCGCAGCGCTCGGGTACGGCGGTTTTGCACCTCTGGGCGTAGAAGCCATGATTCTTCAGCTCTGTCCCTTCTCGTTTTCTTAATTCCCAAATTCCTAATTATATATAGCTCATTTTCTAACTAATGGGTACCAACCCAAGTGCAGGATAATGGGTCCAACTAATTACCAAAATGTTAAAAAAACAATGGGTCAAACTTTTCCGCCCAGGACCACTGAGCCACTGGATCGAAATTATTAAACATGAAAATCAAAATCAAAATCAAAATCAAACTGGGATAAAGATAATATTCCCCCAAAAAACACGTAGATTCAAAAATATTTATCCAAAGAATTTATATGTTTTAAGAGATAAGATGAATAATTAGTAACACTCCCCATAATAATAATAATGTTGATATGAGTGGAAGCAATTTGGTTTTCCTTAAATAAAGTTTCGATTTCAAATTTTATAAATAGAGAAATATATGTTAAGAGAGTTTTAAGCAAAATTTCAATTTCAAACTTTATGAATGAAGAAACATGTACTGTGAGAGCTCTCTCTTATAGTGTTTGACGTAATTCAATTTCAAATTAATTGAAATTTAATATGGTTACCAGATACCAAGAAGTTAATATCAAAAAATAATAATAATAGTTGCTTTTTTTTTGTCTTTAAATTCAAATTTTGTAAATTTGTAAATAAATTATGTTTTTATTTATATTGTTTTAAAAAATAAATAATGATAAAACGAAAATATATTGATAGTATAGAATTAAAATAAAGGATAATAATAGCGTTTAAATTAAAAAAAATATTTTCCACTCTTAAAATTTTTTAAAATATTAAAAAAGATAATTAATTTAAAATAAATTTTGGGTAAAAATGAC